ATTATAATATTTATCTTTGCTTTCCTACTAATTCTTAACATGGAATTTTCCCTCACCTGGTCTCTTTCTTCTGAATGTTTATCGATGAATGCATGATAGTGGTCCAGCAAGGCAATCAATGTGCCTGCTGACCCATCAAACTCCCTGTCCTCCCTAATTTGTTCTTTTATTTTATTAAAATAATGCATTGGAACCTCGCATGCCCCAGAGCAAAATGCAGCCTCAGGTATAATCTGCATTTCCAGTAAGGCCTGTATGACACAAATAGATCCTAGAGCCTTTCTTAGAAATTTAACTAGCAGGCTGCAGCACAGTGCTTTGTTTTTGGTTTGTTTGTTTTTTCTCTGTGTGGATGTTTTGTGATTGTCACAGCAGGTGTCATTAATCATTGTGCGAGAGAGTTGCGGTAATACGTTCTCAATATTCCAAGTGTGCGCAAATAGGCTAGGCATGCCTGATCATTATGACCTCAGAATCCCTTTTCTGGTTAGTCATCAGCTGTCAGTTCAGACTCCATCAGTGTATGAGTGAATTTAGGGGGGGAAATAAGCAATTGTTCCATACTTGCACTGCATAGCGCTTGCTATTTGGTTCACTCACCCTGGAGATAGCTTTTTGGAGCTTTCTGTGTTCTCTTTTTGGAGCTGTTTGCATTCTAAAATGTGGGAAAGGACCCACCAGAAGGAGATCGGTGCTAAAATGTATTCATGTTCTTGAAAAAGTGAGTGGTATCGATAATTATTTTAAATCTTTGGGTAGTGACACAGGCACTCTGCCATAATATCGTAGAAGGCCTTCTTCCAAACAAAATAATCAGTTTATATTACAGCAAATTGCTTTCCCTTAGGAGTTTCAGCTATATCTCCTCCAAATGTGTTTTTTCTTCTCAGAAGCAGCTATCCTTGATTTCCTGCCTTTTTTGCTTTATGTCACGAAGGAGTTCTACACACTCTGGGCAGAAAGTTCCTTCTCTCAGAAAAGGCTAAGGTTCCTTATCAGGCCTGTGCATGTATATGCCATGTTTCCTTTCTCTTTTTTGATCAGATTACATGGAACAATTTAGCCCTTCAGAGGGTCAAATGTTGCCATTTTCTGCCAAATATTTCATAAGTTGGTTTAAATGAGATTTCCAAATGATTGTGTAAGTAACACATAAACCAAAATAGAGGAATAAATGTCTGCTTTCACATATGGAGCTATAGTAACACATAAACCAAAATAGAGGAATAAATGTCTGCTTTCACATATGGAGCTATAGTAACACATAAACCAAAATAGAGGAATAAATGTCTGCTTTCACATATGGAGCTATAGTAACACATAAACCAAAATAGAGGAATAAATGTCTGCTTTCACATATGGAGCTATTTATTTATTTTATTACTTTTTAAAAAAACACTTAAGCCACCCTTCAGATATAAGAAATCCCAGGATGCTATTTATTATATAATTTAAATAAATTATAATAATACATTTTCAAAAGAGAAAGTATAAAACTCTTCAACCGGCAATTTTATTTTATTTATTCAATATGTATACCATCTTTCTGTTTAACTGAGAAATCAAAGCAGCTAGCAACAATTACAATAGAAATACAGAATATTAAAAGCTAGAAAAACCAATGCTAAAAATAATTAGCAATGAAAGGTTGGTGAAAGAAATGCATTTTGGCTTCTTTGCAAAAGATAGTGATGGCCAAGCCCAATTCCTGAAGGAGTACATTCCAGATATAGTTAAGATTTAAAAATCCCTGGAGTTTAGTTTGATTCTTGGTGACTACATAACCGTGTTGATATGTTTTTGGCAGCAAGCACACAGAATGGTTTGCCATTGCTTTCTTCCAATTTCCATATAGAAGCCAGTGTATTAAAATTAATTAATTGAAATTGTCAGAGAGGAGTTCACATTGATTTGATGCTGAAAAGAAAATACAGATAAATCTTCCTACTAAGGCAATGATGCACAAACATATATAAAAGAAGAAACAAATGCATATTTACCATATTTTCCTAATATGTTAGTGGCAGAGCTGGCTAGTGGCAGTTCAAACTAGTGGCAATGTAGAGAAATGAGTGGATAGAAAGTGGCAACAGTTATGAGTGTTTGTACAGTGGGGGCAGCTGGGCATGGGACATAACAGGTTCTCATCAAGCAAGTCCAACCACTGGTCTGTCTAGGTGTATTTTTTATACATTGATTAGTGGTGGCTCTTGAGGGTTGTTAACTAGATTATTTTCTGGTTGTACTACAGTAGTAGCTGTCAGGACTTGAGCCTTTGACCTTTCACATGCAAAACAAGAGCTGTATGTTTACTGAAAGTGTATTTGCAAAATGTCTGGAGATGTTTGTGGAATTCATATAGCTGGAGATTTATCCCCAAGTATTCTCTTATTACAAAGAAAACAAACATCCCTGGCTACTTTCCAGCCCCCTTGTGCTCACTCCAATTTTTTAAAATATTTGTTGATGTTGGGAAAGTTGATGTTGGATATGACCTTTACTGGGTGAGATATCTTTCTTCTGTGGTCCTGCAGGAGGTGAGTATTGAGATCAAGGAGAGGCTGTCAAGCTAGGGAGGAACCTGAGAAATAAATAAGGTTCCTGATTTTAGCATCTCATGTCTGCATTAATGTGAAATAACTGGTGACACAGTTTCTGCCTGATGAATGTTTCACAGCTTCAGGCAAGCCATAAGCTTTTGTCATGTTCCAACCCATGGAAATCTTTTTTGTTTCGTTTTGTTTGAGATGAGGTTGACAGATTGCTTTAATGGAATACACCCTTTTTCAACAATGAGAAGTTAATCCTCATCTTGTCTGGGATCCTATCATCACATTTCTCCAGCCATATCTGAAGCAAAAGAACAGCACGCTTCTAAAGATACTCTGAAGTTGCTGGGGGCAAGTTTGAACAAAATATTATTTTAAACATTTTCAATCTAGAATGGCTTCCAAGATGATTAAAAACAAAAACCTAAGCAAGGAAACCTGGTAAATAGTACATGATTAAAAACATACAACTGAATTGTAGAAAATATACCAGACTAGCAAAATATAAGGCTAACATGCCCTCCCCTGATCCAGTTGCTTTTAATTCTTTTTCTAAATAGCACTTACTGAATCACATGAAATCAGGATTAGGGCATAGATTATACTGTCTCTTGCTATCCACGCTAGACATAAGAGTAGAAGGGCAATTTGCCATTTTTCCAATAGGGGAAAAATTCACGCCAGTTAAATTTAGCCTCATCTAAAGGAATAGTACATTTGCCTCTTTCGGCTTGATATCCTCTTGTTGTGTTGGGAGTATAAACACCAGAATTCCCAGCATAGTAGCCGGTGGTAGGAAAGGCTGCCCTGATCTTTTAGAAAATTGTCGGCAGCCCTGTATTTTCTTGCTACTTCTTACAGGTACATGCACATACAGTAAGAAAGCCAGAATAATTTAATTTAATCATACATTTTAATACATGACTAAACTTCACTTTCTGTGCATGTTTGTAGTTGCATGTCTGCTTTTAGATGTACTGTAAATTCCACATTAGGGCAATACCTCTACAGGTCAACTCTAAAGTCACAAAAGAATTCTTTCAAGGACCGGAGGGATGAAGAAATAAACAGTGGCTGAGTTTCAAGTCCTTGGCCTGGTAAGATTTGTAGGAACTTTTTTAAAGCTTTTTTTTTTTAGTTTATATACAAACTGTTTTTATTAGAGGAATATGCATTGAATGTGTATCTTATGAATGAATATATGAATATGCAATTTCAAAAGAAGAAATTGCCTGCCTGAATATTATCCCTCATAAACATCCGATAATATTATTATCACAGTTTCCTAGTTCAACATACTTTGTAGTATGTTAAACACATCTTAATCAGGGAAACATGCTGTTCTTCGCACTGGATCTATTGGTATGGTTGGAGGAAACAGATGGTATCTGACTCCACAACAGGGAGTAGATACTTATAAAGCACAGGCTAAGGAGGTCACCCCAGAGTAGGAAACAAATGCACTGACTGCCAAAAAACATTGTACAACTGTCTGAATTAAGAACATTTTCAACTATTTTAATTTGGGTACTAATGTTAAGTAGCCATTGATAACTTTGCATCTCTTCTAGATTGGCTGCAGGCATCCCATACTATGTATCATCCCATGACAAAAGTCAAATCATGAAAATGACCCCAGATATCTGAGCTGGCTTCTGAATCTTCTTTTATAGCATGGATGTTAATGGGGGTGTGCTGATCTCCAGAGGAAGTATCGCATTCTAAAGCACAGATTACTGGTCTCCTCTTTGCTCTTTTTTCCTTTAATATTCTCATTAAGACCTTATTCTCCAGGCTGCCAAAGGAAATCCATCTGGTAATAATGAGACGGGTGGCCTTTCTATGAGTGGCATATTGGGAATGGCCCTGTCTCTGCTAAAACAGACACTCAAACTGATGATGTTACCTAGTTGGGTAATGAAACGTCTGCAAGCAAACAGCCAAGCTCAGAGAGCACCAAGGACTCCACTTAGACTGCTGCTGCTGCTACTGCTGCTGTTGTTTTTAAAATATAATTAAGCCCTTAATGAACAGAATGTATTTATTTACTTAGATTTGCATGGCTGCCCATCTTAGAACCACAACTCTGGGCAGTTCAAAACAATTATATAAAACCAACATCATACAAAAAATAAAGGCAAAAAAGCAAGAAAAAATAGAAACAAAGAAACCTGGTGCTACAATCAAACTCCTTTCAATGGAGCCAAAAAACTCTCTTCCCCCTCTGACTTCACCTTATCCCAGCATTTTTAGTTGTGTTTTTAGCTATTCTGTGAGAACATTTCTTAGCTTTATGATTTCATCCTATAGTTGTATTGATTTTTGTGGATTTTTTAAATTATAATTTTAAGCCAGTTTGAATGTCTTAACTGAAAAGTAGAATTCAGGTATTTGAATAAATGTGTTTTATATGTGTACAAAAGACTTTGTGGTGTGTGTTTCTTTTTTCAGGGGATGAGCTGGAGTACATCAGGCCCAATCTTTATCGGAATATAGCACGGCAGCTAAACATCTCTCTACACTCGGAAACTGTGGTGACGGATGCTTTCTTGGCTGTGGCTGCTCAAATTTTTTCTTCAGGTGCTGTATTAAAATGCAAAATATGGGTAAAGGAAAGAGGAATGAGAGAAACCAAGGTGTGGAGGGCATAGCATGCTGCAGGTCAGCCTGGGGAGTGGATCCCACTTGGCAAAGGATACTGGCTTTAAGCAAATTGGCGATGAATGTTGCACTAATGATTTCATGTAAGCCGAATGTACATTTTTCTTACGCCTCGTGGGGTGAGGAAATATTTTAGCCTCTCCCTGTTTTCTGTCTTCCAGAAAGGGAGCCTCTTTAATGTCAAGTGTTGTATTTTTATACATTCTTGGCAACTGCTGTGTTTGCTACAAAGAGATCTGTTTTCCTCCTCTCTTTGGTTTGTGATATTGCACATGCTCTTGGCTGCAGAATGAACTTTGCTTTACTGTTTCTCATGGCGCAGAAAGCAGTAAGAAAAAGTCCATATGGAAAATCAAGGAATATCATCATTTGAGCTTCTTGTCTTTATTCCTGACACTCATGTTGGCATTTGTGATTTTGCCCCTCCCTTTTTTTGGTCCATATCCCAACACTGTGAAAGAGGCTCAGTTTTGTGTCACTTTGGAACCAGTTCCACACCTGACTGATTGCATGACACTGGGTGGTTTTAAGAGTGGGATTGATTTTTTTCCCTAGCTCTGCACTAACTTATCTGAAATCAGAACTAAGCTAATCTTGAAATGCTACTGTAGCCTTGCAGAGGTAGTGTACTGTCTATTTCTCACTGGCAGGAAATCATGGACTTTATCAGCCTCCTAGTTCCCGGGCATGCTGTTCCTTGCCATAAAAATTTGGTGTTGGCTTCCTGAGGACTGTCTGCAATGTTGAGAGTTTGTCTCCCCCACATGCACGCTAGCAGTTGCAAAATGGCTGATAAGTTGTTCTTTCACATTCAGAGCTATTTCAAAGCCGAACAGAAGGAAATACTTTTTCACAAGCATATGATTACTGTGAAATTTACTATCAGTGTTATGATAGCCATTTGGGTGATTTTAGAACAAAACTGGACAATTTCATGGAGAATCAGGCTTATCAGCGGCTACTAATGTTGATTCCTGTTTACTACCTCCTGAATTACAGGCAGCACGTCTTAAATTCTTGTTGCTGGAAGCAACAGTGGAAGGGACCATCACTCTCTAGTCTAGGCTTGGGAACTTACCAATACATCCAACTGGCCACTCTGTGATAGAGAGCACTCTAGTAGATGGGCATGTGATCTGATCCAGCAAGGTTGTTGTTATTTTCATGTATTTTCTAATGCAGCAGAGGCAAGTCGCCATATATATCTTTTCTTTACAAAATACATTGAACCTTCCCTTGCATTGTTTCCATCATAGGGATGCGCATGGGGAGTGGTAGAGATTCACTGTCATTCTTTGCACTTTTTTGTGGGTCATCTGGGGGGAATAGTGATTGGTTCAAGGTGATCCCTGTGTATCCTCAGCATTTGAGGACTGCAGAAGTGAAAAATGATCATTGGTTGGTTTCAAACATCTTTATGAGTAGTAAAAATGGTGTGGTGTGGAAGTACCCATAAAGGCTTCATCCACATAACATATTAAATACAGCTGTGTGTTCATCATAGTTAAGGTACTGACTTAGCAAACCTTAGACAAACTGAAGGTTCCCATGGTTTGCTACACCCAATCCTTATCACTTCTGATTTTAGTTTTTTGTAAGCAACAACAAAAAACTGCAGTTATCTCATCCTGGATGAAGCCACTACATTTGGGGTTCAGGAAAGCTAGTATCACACAATCCCCTTATTTTCAAAATATTAATGCTTACATATCCACAGGACTTATTTACAAACATGCTAGCATTTTTTTCATACTGTGTTTCCACCATGTTGTTCTCATTTCATCCCTAGCTCATGAGTGAGGCACATTTAAGTCTTTTGCTGTACTGATACATTCAAGTAGAGTTTTCTCCCTTAAGATGACTACATCCAATGACAGCTGTAATGTATGGTGTGTAAAATCTGTTATGCTTCACCATTCATTATGTTGGTGTAAAGAGTAAAGAAGATGATCTTGACAGAGATATGCAGAAACTGTTAGCTAGGCAAAAGAGGCTGATTTCCTGTTCTGGTCTATCTAGTGAGGCAGATAATCAGGACAAAATTAGGTGACCAGTAGCAGGTAAGAACGGAAATGTGCTTATTGGCTGTTTCAGACTGATGTAGGCATGTCTCTCCCTATGGATCCCTTTCTAGCCTCCTCTGTTGCCATTCTGCTGTTGTCTACCTAGATAGCTGGGTACAGTAGTGTGTGAAATGTGAAGAAACGTGATGTAACAGGTTGAAATAGTTTAACACTGAAATGAGGGGACCAATTCTATCTCCATTGCCTCCAAGAAGTGCATGGAAGAATCTGGAAGCGGAGACTGTTGCTTTTATAAAGGAAGAAAAGGAAGACAGGAGAAAGTGTAAGTGAAAGTGCTACTCCCTTTGCGACTTGATCCAGTTTGTTTTTTTTCACTTTACTCAGAATGGGGCATAGGAAAGGCAAAGGAAGGAACTTAAAGGTGGGGAACAGGGTCCTGCAGCCACCTCATTCCTGTTGCAACATCACGATCAGTGGATATTTTTCCTGTTAGCTGGTGATGTGCAGAAGAGGGAAGGCAGCAAAGCCAGAGGAATCAACCTATCATTTTAATTCTTATGCTCTTTATACACAAAACCAGGTCAGCACTGTTGGGCAGAACAGAGACAATAGAGTCAAGGTAGGAATCAACAAAAGAGGCAGCAAATATCATGCCAGTATAGTTTTATGCTGACTCAAGGTTGGGTGGGTAGCAATTTAATTCAACAGTAAGTGTGAAAACAAAAAAATGGAGCAGAGGAGTCTCCATTTTGCTGCCACTCCTGCATGTTATGTTGTTTTTCTAGAGATCTAGTGGCCATTTAACCATAAGCCAACCCGTAGTCTTGGATTTGGACAATGTAGCTGGTGCTGCTTAAAAGCAACAACATAGTTATGCATTGTGATTAATGGCATCTCATTTAACCACAAAGTTAAGTTAACCACAAAGTTAAAACCACAAAGTTTCCATGTTAGAACAAGATACTAAACCAAAGTACCATGTGGCTTAGCATATTGCATGAATGCCAGCAGTGATAGTTTAACATCACCCATGAGCTTCATGTCTGATGAATTTGAATCTGGGCTTCCCCAATCCTAATCAAACACCAACCAAACCATAATACCACTTGACCATTTTGATTTAGCACTGGTCATTCTTTCCTTACAAAGGTACTTAAGGCTTTCTTGAATCTTTGAACACGCACATATACAGTTTAGAAACTTAACAAAATGTATGCTTATCAAAAACACAGTTGTTTTGTTCACATAGGCCATATTTTTTAAAGAAACCAAGAAACACTTTTTAAAAATAGTGTTAATTTTTTTCAGTGCCTCTTTGAAAACAGAGGGATCATTTTTATATCTCACTTGTCAGAAGGGTTGCATTGCATAACAAGCAAAGGAGGATAAAATGTTATCGAGAAAGTGGGAGGTTATGGTTGTTGAGGGAGGGAGGTGTTTGGTACTTCTGAAAAAAGATTAAAGCTGAAACTCTGTGTGTGCTTAGCAGGTTTAGCCTTGTTGAACAGAGCGTAATTTATTCCATTTGTCTAGGATTATGTGAAATATAATAAGGCAGTGGCTCTGTTAAGAAATGAAAGTTTGGGTCTCAGTGGAGGAGCAAAACACCTCATATTTCTCAAACAGTGAGCTTAGCATGGTAGAGTAATCTCCCAGGTATGGCGTTCATTTGTCTTCCTCTTTGTATTCAGTAAAAAGGAAGGTGGGTAGGTCTGCCTTTGGATTTTAGTGGCTTGTGCTCACATACTATACATAGCAGACACATTTCATAAGTGATGCCATCTCTCTTTCGCTGTCTCTCAAACACACACACATACACGCACACACTTAGTTCTTTCACTGTAGTCCAGGACTTACTGTGTTGTTCACAATGTAAATGGTCATTCTCTTGTGTCTCTGAAAATGGATGTGCCAATTTATGGTATTAAATATAAATATAAATATAAATGGGGAGGTAGTTATGCCAACTGAACCTCAGTATAACACATCAAGTTGCCTTGCTAATATGCTGCACATGTTTTTTTTTAAATTAATATAGGAATACTAAAAGGGCTGACATGCTAACTTTTTTATAAACTTAATTTCCACACTCAGTTGATGGTCATTTTCTGTGATGGATAATATATTTTCTCATTTACCTAACTAATCTTTTCTCTGTGGGAATGACAGTGGTAGAAAGCAAAAATATTTCCTTAGTAAATCACAGTACAAAACCATCATTTAATAATGTTTTGCTTAATTGTCACAACTTAAGTGACGATTGAAAAAAAGCAGGTTTATCTAAATCCAGAGGTTAATCTATCAGAGATATTCTTTTAATGTCACTTTAATAGTTTCCATCACACACAGACAAAACTGTCTTGCAAACACAGTTTATGACTGGGAATAGACATTTTGTGGCTGGATTTGTGCAATTTGTGGAGCTCATATAACATGAGGAGGCAAGGGTGTCTGCCAGAGTATCATCAAAAACCATAACCTGCAGACGTTTCTGTGAAGAGGCAAAACCAAACAAGCCAGGTTTAATCTAAGGTAACTTCAAGGACCCAGAATTATCAAGTCAGGGAATGCAATTTTCATATGGCTGTTCATTTGGGGTGTCAACCTCAATTACTTCAAGAGGCAGTTGGAAGAAGTGGAAAGGAACTGCATTCTGTTATAAGCAAGAGATTGTATAAACTACTGTGTGGAGTTGTTCAGTGTTTATTTTAAAGTGAAAGTACATATACTGTCTGCTACTGCCCTTCTCTGTCCAATAAGGAGCAAGGAGTTGACTCCAGCCTCACTTCTCCCTGATTATCTGGAGATGATGTTCCACATTCTTTTTCTATCTGCTAATGTATTTTGGTATTCCCTACATCTGCTGTGAGCACAGATGAAAGATAACAGTAATCATTCCAAACTAACACTGACTGAGACTTATTTTCCATCTTCTTGTACCCAAACTGCCAACCCCAAAATGACTAGCATTTGCCATCACATTTATTGCTAGCTGAATGATTCATGTGGGACTTTTAAGATGTACCAGATACAAGTAAGGCAAGGGTTTCTAGGTTGTTAAAAAGCTCTATTGAAAATAAACCATTGACTATTGACCTCCATGTAAGTTATATCTGTTAAACAGGGCCTTTCTGAGACTCAGAGTGATGGAACAGAATGTTTATTATAGGCCTCTCCTTGCTATTTTCTTCTCATTGTGTCGTCCGCCAGAATGTAATTTTTCTCTGTTTAAAAAAACTGCTAAAGATTTATATAATTGTAAAACAATCATCTATATTGACATTAGAATTAATAGAAAAATGTGTTAAAACTGTATGCCTTAAAATGGGATGAAAAAGACAATAGTACTGATTTTACTTGCAAAGTGTAGGGCTCCTGCAAATTGTCATATTTTTCATGTTTTATAAACTATTATAAGCAATGCTTACGCATAATGACAGTGTATTTTTTACTGGCTTATCATCACACTGAATATGGATAGAAGTTATTTTACTTTGAGCCTAAATTCTATTACCTTCTTTCTCTCTTTTTAATATAAGTTTCAAGAAGAGTTCTGTAAAACTATTAGCACTGGAAAGCTTGCATATTGTTAGGTCCATTGAATGTATTGTCCCAACTTTGCTTTACTTGCTTAATGTTAAATAGAGCAAGATAAGAGTTAGCTTTTACCCTTAAAAGTAAGAGTGAAGCTGGAGCTGAATGCTAGCATGGCCCCGATTGCTGTTGCCCCCTGCTTTCCATTCCAGGAAACACTTCCTTTCAGTGGGCAGATTTTACTGGCTGTAGATGCCTTTATATGTAGCTGTACATACACATACAAAAATAAAAATATGTGTATGAATCAGATGGGCTATTTGGGAGCTGGAAGTGAAACTCTTCTATCTCAGATGTCTGGAAAAATTATGAAACAGCCCACTGGTGGATTTATTATTTTTTCAAAACTCCAATGGAAAAGTAGATAGCTGAGGAAAAGAAAAATAGTAATAAACGGTGTATACTGCTGGGTTTCAGAGCAGCAGCATCCTGGATAAGTGCTATAACCAATGTGCAATTAGAGGACTACAGTACTGGTAAAGGTAGCTCCAGAAGACATTGTAGATCATGGAAACTATTGACTTAGTTGCGGAGGTATCCTGCTTCTACACAGTCACCAATAAAAGTGAAGGGGGTTGCCTAGAACAAAGAGGCAAATCTTGAGCTGGAACAAGCCAGAAAATCTCATTTTCAGGAAAACATGGGCAGAAGTTACATTCATGGTAAGTTGGAGGTCAGTAGAAGTTTACAGCATTTATTCCAGTCCTCCAGAGCTATGGGTGGCCCATACTCACCATAGGGAGTTGGCCATGCAGATATGCCCTCTGTCAAGTGATGCTAAATTAACCAAGTTCTGAATTCAAACATTAGTTGGATTCACAGAATGTGCTAAATTAAAATACAGTTGACTTGTTTGTGGTTTATTACTTGAATAAACCCAGGCAGTTGGGCTAATTCAATAAAACATGGTTTGGTTATCCAGGAATTAGTACAGTATGTTATACTGACTACTACCATCTGCAAGTGGTGAGAAGGTGGCAACACTGAAGAGGAACGTATGCTAGTTCAGTTTTCCCTCCCTACCCCCTTCTTGTAACACAGCCCATCACAAGTTTGTTTTGGGCTGGAGTAGAAAGTTGTGCACTTTGATCATCAAGTGGGTAGGTTTATTTGTACAGCGAAAGGAAGTGTGGTTTTGTGAGCTCAGAAACTGACCAGACGCTTATCCCATATGGTTTCCTGGAGATTTTCCAGCATCTAGGAGACTAAAGCAAGGGACCAGTTCTCATGTATTTTCTCTGTTTTGGTCCATTTGGTATTTACATACCTCAGCTCAACAGCTGGCTTCCATCTGGCTGCTCTTAAAAAAATAATCCAACGGAATCAGCTTTTTTTCTGCTCTCTTATGGCTTTGCCATAGAGGTTCCTTACAGTGATATGGATCAAGAGCCCCTTTCCCAAGCTGATTCCTTTTTTGCAGCTGTTAGGAAGACACTTATATAAAGAATGACAGCTTTTGCCCAGCTGGAATCTGAACTGGTGGCATTTTTATTAGATGCAGTTTGCGGGTGCTCCCACCACCTGCTGTATGTGGGTGGGCAAAGGCAAGGCAAAGTAGCAAGCAATTTATGCCTGTGTATATGAGCTCCCACATTCCTGGCCAGACACTGGCTCCAAATCTCCAGAATGTCAAAAGAAAGGTGCTAATTATATGTTCAGCAGAAAAAGCAGAATAGAAACTTGTGTCTGTAAGCCTGGTTCTATTCCTAGGAACTGCATCCTAAGGAACTGGGAAAAACTCCTGGGAAAGAAACTGTAAGAGGGAGAAAAATAGTCTAAACCCACCCGCTAGGAGACAGAGGGGAAACAGTGATTTATAGCAGGGTCAGTGGGAGGAAGAAGGTGGGGTTTTCCCTCTTCCCAGCAACCTTAGGAAATTATATGTACATGTATCTGTGTAGTTCCCAGCCTGACAACTGATGTGCCCCTGGGACCAGAAATTTTGTATATGCCTCCACTAGCATAACATTCTTTAAAACTATTAAGACACTTTTAGATATTTGATGACAAATGGTGAACTTCCAGTATAATTATTAGAATCAGAAGCTAATTTTATCTCTAGAAATTACTCTCTGGGGATACAGAGCCTCTACTTTTTTTTCTGGCCTCCAATTTTTCTTTTTTATTAGTCATATGGCAAACGTACACATTTATATAAGAAGTTTACAGAAGAAGAAGTTGGGCAATGCTGTGCTGGGATATTAACTACTGCTTCGGCATGCTCCTTTAAAAAGATATATAGATTTTTAACCAATCACAACAACAAAAGAAGACAATAACCAAGTGTAATGATAATAATACAGAAAAAAATGAAATAAACCTGCAAATAAGTCAAATGTGGCAAGAAAAAAAGAAGAAACAAAGAAAAATTTAATAAATATCAAAACCATTCATATAGATGATACTCAAGCAATAAATTAAACCCTGACGATGTGGAGTTATATTGATCAAATTACCATGTAATTGATAGTCATGCGTGAATAATGTAGATGTGGCTATGAAGTCAGGTATCATTGAATCTTCCACTGAAGTAAAACAATCTTCTTAGTTTTTGCCCTGACACATCAAACCAAAATTCTTCATACTTCAATAGGTTCCAAATTTTCAGAATGTAGAATTCTGAAAGACATTTCTGTTACATATTTATTTTTTTAAAAATCACATTATCCATTTCTTGGTTCTATTCTCTTGTGAGGTACTGATGATAGTTTCTTTTCTGAATTTGTGGGGGGAAATACGATTGTACCCTGATGGTGTCCTGGGGCGTTAGTCTTTTTTTAACCTAATAGGTATTAAGATTATCTGGATAACCAAAATGACAAAATGATTTATTTTGGCAACCCCACACCCATGCCTGAACTTCTTTGCATTGGGCTTACATTAACTAGAAGATGCTTGTGTCTTGCCCTTAGCCTGGGCTTAGCTCTTTCATACGTAAGACAAAGTTAAAAGTGTATCTGCTGTAGTTTACATTTGTTAAGAGAATGAATATTAATTGGTGGTATTACATAAAACAACAGTACTGTAAAAGCCAAATCAGCTGTTATCCCATTTATGTAATTAGCAATTTTGTGAATAAATGTTTAAAGGCAAATTGAGACGGTGAGTGAGAATGGGGATTGGGTTGGTAGAGATTCTCACTAGAACCAACTTGATGACTTTAACTCTTCTCCCTGTCACAGTCCAGAGTGGGCCTAGCAAATGCATGGGCCCAGACTTCTTATTGGAGCAAGCAGGTAAGGGGAGGGAGAGGGCAATCCAGACCTGACCCAAAGCAGGAGACACAGACTTATGTACATTTATGTATACTTTTATAAGGTCGTTTCCATAATTGTGTGAATGGCATCTCATGTAACTGGGACCTTTGAAGGATTGTTCTTGAACTTGACCAACTGTCGCTATTCAGTCAGTGCCTATCCCTGAGAAGTGCCTGCAAAGTAGACAATGCTAATGTACCAGCTGGGCGAGTGGCACTGAATATCATCCGACAGCTGCTCCATAGTGAGTAGTGGTTATACTGTCTACAGCCTGGGTCAGACTATGTGAAAATAAATGACGTGTACATGTTATTTAGTACAGATGGATGTCTGCATGCCTATCCATGCTCAGCTGTCTGGTGTGGGATGATAGTGGGATGAGGAGAGAGAACAATACCAAATGCAAAAATGCCTGCCTGAAGAGGTTACCTAAAAACATACAGGATATAGCTTTTTTCCCACCAGCTTTGGGCCAACTATGTTTGATTTTTCTCCCCTTCCTGTAGGAATAACATGGGGTAAGATTGCATCTCTCTATGCCGTGGCAGCAGGCCTCGCTGTGGACTGTGTGAGACATGCCCAGCCAGCTATGGTCCATACCATCGTGGACTGTTTGGGAGAGTTTGTACGCAAGACCTTGGTGACATGGATGAAGAGGAGAGGAGGCTGGGTAAGTGGTCCTGTAGAGTTACACCTTCCTCAAAAGCATGAGGGGGCAAACTCTGGAACTGTTGCTGGCAGGAATCAAAGTAGGTGGGTATTTTGCAGGAGGACAAAGATCTCCTTTAATAAAGCTTTTCCCAGTCAGCCCTTCTTGCCATCCCTGGCCTGCAATTCTGCAGAAGGATTCTGACTATATTAGCTTCTCCATATAGCTGTGGGTCTAACCCATTGGGACTGTGGCTGCCTTTCCCTTAAGTTTTGAGCCTCATCCCACTTGCTTAATTCGCTGCTGCTGACTTGTTATAATCTTTTACACGAATTTAGCCTTCATGCTTTTAAGAGAGACAAATAATGATGCAATGGGAAACCTTGGCCAGTCATTAGTTACCTGATGTGTGTATATACATATCAGGGGTACCTTTCTACATTGGGCAGATACTTTGTGACAGCTTGGGGAGATACCCCCCACCCCCCTTTTTTCTAACTGCCATTTTCAGTGGCTAGGAGGTCAGACAATAGTGTAATGCTGCACAAGAAGGTGGGGCTGATTCTGTGCAAAGGGTTGAAGAGGTACAGGTAGTCCTCAGGTTATGACCACTTGTTCAATGACCATTCAAAGTTGCGACGGCACTGAATGAAGGGGACTTACGACCGGTCCTTGGAGTTCAGGCCATCACAGCATCCCCGCCGTCACGTGATTGTGAGCTGGGCACTTGGGCACCTGGCTCGTGATTACGACAGAGTGAGCTGTAGTCACATGACTGCGATTTCTGATGTTCCCTGCCAGCTTCCAACAAGCAAAGTCAATGGGGAAGCCGGCAGCAAATCATAAGTTGCTCCAGCTCCTGCCACTTTTTCACCCACCCGTGCTCCCTAGCACCTGCCTGCCTGAGGCAACCCCTGCAGCACCTGCACACTCACCCATGCTCCCTAGCACCTGTCCATAGTACCCCCACAGAAAATTTAAATCTCTAAGGTAGTATTCAGAAGTGGGATTGTAGGGGAAAAGCTCTAGGGCAAGCATGGACAGGGGTTTTTTTGGACAAGAATCCTATTGCCTTAGGAAGAATTTATAGGAGGCCAAACGTTCCTTCTGGTAAATGGATGGCTATATACATTTGTTTAATAAATAAATGAATAGCTAACGGTTGGTGGGGCCATCCATTCTTTGATATCCTGACCCACTTTTCATCTAGTAGGCTAGGACTGCTTTAGGCAGTGATCAGAATCAATGGCTTGCAGAGAACATTTGAGAAAAGTTTTCCAGCTGGAGGTTTATTCAGGTTTTCCAAAGCCCAGCTCTATGGAAATGTTTTAGGGATTTTGACAGGGAGATGAATCCTTCACCAACAGTCTGGCAGGAATCATACAGAACTCTATTAGTAGTCAGGATGTGACGTCAATATGTAAAACTGCTGATTCTCTTTTTTTTTCCCCCCTACCCCAGACAGACATAACAAAATGCGTAGTGAATACTGATCCTAATCTTCGCTCTCATTGGCTTGTGGCTGCCGTTTGTAGTTTTGGCCACTTCTTGAAGGCCATCTTCTTTGTGCTGTTGCCAGAAAGATGATATCCAGTTATCAGATGAAGTTCCATCTTCTTCTCAGTGACACAACAGATACAGGGAAGAAGTAATGAGATGACTTTCCTCAACATTTTTCCAGCAATGGGAAATGTTTTTTCAGTTCATGTCTTGCACCAAACATCTTTTGTATTTTCAGATTTGCATAGAACTGTTCATAAGGCTGAGCAATGGAAGAACTTGCCATTCAGTTTGTTGTTTTTAAATTGTGTCACATTTTTAATGCATTAAAAACAAGGAAGCTGATTTGGAACTGTTGTCAAGAGGAAAACTCTGCCCTGAATTTTTCATGTAAACTACTTTTGTGTTTTCTAGTTGTGATTTTTACAGTGTTCTTCACACTTTGGATCCTAAATTCTTGGTTAATGATTGCTAAATAAAGAAGGGGAGGGGGTTTTCCAATATACTGAAATTTAGTTTAAATATCACCTTCTGTCTAAGAGGAAACTAAACTGGGATTGTGTAACATAGATTGCCGATCTACATACTCATCTTTACATTTTCGCATCTGAGGCACCAAAATATAAGATCATGTTTTTTTTAAAAAAAAACTACTCTTACGTTAAATAAAAGGAGACGTCAAACTGCCACATTTAGAATACATCAGCAAAAAGATCTAAATGGAGCGTACAAAAGTTTAATGTGAGGTGCAGTTGGCAAATTGTGTGATTTTTTAAAAAATCCTATTATATCCTATATATGATAACAAGCATGACTGGGACAGGAGGAAATCTAAACCTGCTTTGATATTTAAGTGCAAATAAAGAAAGGTGTACACACAATGAAGTGTATAAACATCTGAAAGATACTCTCACCCATTATTTTTCTTTCTACTTTTTAACTACATTGTGCAAAATGCTGGTAAATGGGAGTGGGATTAGCAATGAAGATCATCCTTGAAATTTGTGAGAAGAGCAAAGCTTCAGGCTTCTGGTGTTAGACCCCTGAAACAGAATCTGAACTCTGTATATAATGAGATAAGGGCTTGATTTATTGTGACTAAATAAAACACAAAGAGAGCATGAAGAGCATGAATTCTGGAACTCTTTCTAATCACTTAATAATAGCTCTGTTCTGGGTCAGGAGGGGAGCTTAGATTTGAGGCATCAGCAATATTCCAAGCCACTAACTGCCTTTCCTAAGAGGATACATTTGGGGATTTTTCAGGATTTTTTCTCTGAAGACTCTGAATCTGGCCTGTTTTCTTAATCTTCCTTCTACCAGTTTTACCCAACATGAAATTTAGTTCCATTCTGATGAATAGAAAGCTGGACAGTGTCTTTACTTCTTTCCAACATTGTATAGGTTAAAAAGAATATTTGTATATGCTGATATATTTGTTGAAGGAGAGTCCTTATAAAGCCAAAATGATGCAGGGATGATTAGTGGACTTGAGAGGTCCATCACTATAGAAGAAGAAATATATATGTTGGGTGGGAAAAGTGGGGGGGAAACCCCTCAAAACTATATTCAGCATATTCTGAAAAGACATACCATTTTTGGTGGGAGAAAATGGCATATTTCAGCTCCTGAACAGAAGCAGTACACACTGCTACATTTTGTGAGATCTCAATTGCCATAAATACTCTCAGTAGCCCTAAATAAAATGTACATAGAAGAAGCAGATTTAGAAAAACCCAAGATCTACAGAACTATCCCAAGAAAACATGTGCATTAAGTGTTCTTAAACATTGTCTATCCAACCAGTAAGCACCATGACAAGAACTATAATAATTGTCCTCTGAGTTAACGCATGAATGGACAAATATAACAAGGCAGTTCTGCCAGATTAGATCAAGAGAAGGTGGGTTTGTCCAATATGCTTAGTAAAAGAGCAAGTAAGTTGCCATTGTTAATCTCCTAAGTGTGGCTTTTTTTACAGTGGTTTCGGACTTATAGTTCAAACCTTAAATATCTGTTATCTTATTAAATATATCCAAACTAGTGGTTGTTTAGAGTTTGACTGATGGTAAGTCTGAAAAAGCTGCATGGGGAGGGGGAGAAAAGTACCCTATGCTTCCCGAAGTTTCATACATGTCATGTGAATATGGCAAATGAAATAAATATTAATCCATATTAGCCATGATTAAAGAGGTACATTCCCACCAGGGAAGATTCTAATAAAGGTCGAGTTTCATGACGTACATTTATTTAGATGTATGCACTGCCCTACCAGCTCACGATGCTCAAGGTGGCTTTCAATGATACAGATACAAAATGGCATGAAGATTTCAAACGAACAGTAACATATTAAAATGTAAACCTTGTAAAAACATTTAAAACCAACTTCAATGGAGCCATTCGAGTTTCAGGAAATGCTGGGGTAAACCTGCATTTAGCTAAAAGTCCAAAGTAAGGAGGCCTGCCTCAGGTCTGTTGGCAGTTGATTCCCAAACCTCTGGAGCTGCTGTGGAGAAGGTCTGCCAACAGACACACCTCTTCTACAGAGGGACCATCAGCAATCCCTCTTTAGCAGGTCTCAGATTGTGGAGCAGACAGTATTAGGTGAAACGTTCACTTGGATATCCTAGTTCAGAACTATTTAGAGCTGTACAGATAAATGCCAGCATCTTAAATTAGGGCAGGCAACTAGTATAGTGCTTGCATAGTAGTAGTAACATGCTCCTGTTTTCTGAGCCCACATCTGCTTCGAGCCATAACATTCTGCACCAGCTGTAATCTCTGGACTTTTGTAACATATACTACCTAGATCAGATTATTTTCACTGGCAAAGACTTGCCAGCCAAAGCTGTGCATAAGTGCTCCAACCACTGAGATCATATGCATCTCCAGTGATAATTTGGCTTCCTAGAGCTCCCCAAACTTGGCCCTAGAGGGGAATGCCATCTTTCCAGCACCAGGAAAAAAGCCAATCCCTGGTTTTGCAACCTGCCCAACCAGTGAATGTTTAACTTCCTGGGTCTATTTGCCCTCATCCAGTGTGTTACCATTTGTAAACACTGATCCAATACCAGCTGCCTTTTCAAAACCATTTTAAAAGTGGTTTGGTGTTTGAAGAACTCAGAAAAGGAAAATTGACTCAACCAAAAACTCAAAACTATAAATTTTTAGAAATAGGGAAGTAGAAGTAGGAAATGAATGATTCAGCTGTTCATTCTTAAATAAGGGTTCCAGCATCTCCCTTCCATTTCATTTATGATTAGTGTCTTCTGTTGTGGGTTGAGTTTTGGGAAATGGGGGCTTCCATATGGGTTTCAAGGTATAGATGCAAAGGATTCACAGGCTGCATTTGGACACGAACTACAGATTCATCACTGGTCATTTAGCATTAAGCACATAGTAGCCCTTCTACTATACTACTATCATACTTATTAACAGATTCAAACTTTGGGCTGCATTGGAGTAGAGTCATCTACAATCTGTTCTTTTGCATACAATATTTTATTTGCAAATCACTAATTGTATCCAAAGAAAACTCCAAGACTGAAATCTCTTTAATTTTCATTTTTTCGTAAAGAATACATTTTTGAAGCTTTAATACATGCCTTTGGAAGTATTTCTAAAACAACAGAACGCCACTCCAAGTCATATCTTTAAAAATAAACGCTTTTTTATTGGCTTTAGATTTGTTTGGTTTTATAAGACTACCATTACAGAAACTTCAGAATAAAATCCTTCAGCAACTGCAGTTTCTACTCTTGATTATGAATTGGGTTGTGAAGATGCAAAGTCATTATATTTTGCTTCCAAGCTACTTCTGTTCTCTCCATGCAATGTTTTTTTCTTGGCCACCATATGTCGGTAAAACAAATCCTCCTTTTTAAGGAATCACTTTCTTGTATGTAATGTGAAGGTGCTGAGTCATTGGTTGTGTAGTAGTTGACATGGAGACTGTCTGTTCTAGTTTTCCCTCAGAATTGAGCCTGAATTTTCTAGTAATCTAAAAAGAAAATAGAAAGGACATTATGTATTATTGAATTTTGTTTAGAATTCAAGAAAACAGCAAAACAAATTAAGATGAAAGGACATAAACAAATAAGGATGTTCCCCAAGTACTAGTATGCATGCCTCAAATCCTTGCAAAATTCCAAGCAGAATATTGAGGCTTATTTTAAATTTAATTTTTAATTTAATTTTTTCAAAATACAGAGTTATTGTGGGGGAACAGAAATATTTGGCATGCAAAGAAGAAGGAAAAACTTTTTCAGAAGACTTCTGAACACAAAGCAGAATTCAAGTGTGTAACACAGAAAGCACAGACTAATGTGTATCCTTAGATAAGACACAATCCTTACCGTCATCATCATCACCACCATCAATAGAGAGATTGCAATGAACTAGTCAACAACTGACTCCCCACCCCCCAAAAAAACCCTGCAGTTCTGAGCGCAGCTATGGGACAACCCAAAGAAATACAACAAGAATGCAGCTTGGATAAAGGAGGTAGATAAGAATAAAAAAAAAGCTGAAATGAAAGAACTTGTAATAACAGCAGAAATGGTGGAGAATAGGGCAAGGAAGATCAAGAATCAGTCAGCACCAGGTGAAGATGAACTGCATGGTTTTGGTTGAAACATCTGACTGGTCTGCACCCACTCACTGCCAACAAGTTTAACAACATACTGCAAGGAGGTGAGATTGAAGATTGGTTAACATCTGGCAAAACCTACCTGATAATGAAAGGTCCAGCAAAAGGGACAGCACCAGGCAACTACAGGGCAATTACCTGCTTGCCAACAACTTTCAAATTCCTAACTGGTGTGGTAGCTGATGCAGTCCAACAGAATCTAGTTGAAAACAAGCTCTTTCCATCTGAGCAGAAAGGAAACCACCCAAACAGCAGAGGTACACAAGATCAGACCCTAACTGACAAGATGATTTTGGAAAACTGTACAAGAAGGAAGACCATACTGAACGAAGCTTCAATTGATTACAAGAAGGCATTTGACTCCCTGCCACATGACTGGATAATCAAGTGCCGAGAAATAACAGGAGTCAGTAGAAACATC